TTTTTTTTTTTTTTTTTTTTTTTTTTTGTACGGGGGATGGAATTCAGGACCTCCAACTTGCAAGGCAGGCAGTGAAACCACTGAGCTAAATCCCAGGCCCTCACCTTAGTTTTTTGCTTGTTTTTTTGACAGGGTAGTTGAGACTGATCTGGAACTCACTATGTAGTCCAGGCTGGTCTCGAACTCACAGCGATCTTCCTGCTTCAGCCTCCCGAGTGCTGGGATTACAGGCATGTGCCACCATGCCCAGCCCACCTTAGTTTTTTAATCTTGACGGATTAGGACTTTCTCTGTGAACTCTGAGAATGCACAGAATACTTTTTTACAGTTGAGCCTTATTTGTCAGTCTAGTCTTGGCCTGTGGCCTTGTTATTATTTAATGGGGACCAGTGTGCTTCAGGTGATTTTAGCTGCTTTATTGTTAATTCTTTGTCAGAAGTCAAATCCTGACTCTTAACTTTTTCACTGGGCGCCGATACCCTCAACACTTGTCCCTAGGTCCGTCGTTGCCTAGAAGCAGCGTTCCTGAAAGTCTTGGCATTTCTGAGTGCCATTGTGGACTTGCCGAAGCAAGGGTTCCTGTGCAGGTGTTTACCCACGGTGCTGATCAGTCCATGGTGTTGGCACAAAGGTGAAATCCAGGTGAGGGTGGGAACGGAGTTTTAGATTTTTCCAGTGGCTTCGAAGGAGGCCAGAGAAAGGCACCAAGTGCTCTTCTCGACTTGGGCTCTCACAATGGCTTTCTAGTACACTCGTGCCCACTCTGCATTGGTCTAGAGTGATTCTGAAACTTGCACGCTGTTTGTTCAGGTCCTTTCAGCAAACCAAAGTCTTCATAGCAAGTCCAGGAAGAGTTGCAGTGTATATATGCTTATTTGGGGTAAAAGCCTGTGCAGTGATATGCTGATATTTCAACATACACTGTGCTGCTTTTTTTTCCTGGTTTTTTTCCCCTTGTTTCAGGGATTGGAACCCCTGGTCTTGCTTGGCAAGTACTCCAACCCCAGCCCACGTTGGCTGTTTTTTTTCCCCTTTTCTGAGACAGGGTCTCACTATGTAGCTCAGGCTGGCCTGGAACTCAAACTTGTGGTGATCCTCCTGCCTCAGCTTCCTGAGTGCTGGGATTAGAGAGACATGTGCCTCCTTACCATGCCTGGCTCCCCCTTGGCTCCTTTTTTTTTTAGTACAGGGGAGTGAACTCTGCTCCTTGTGCTTGCGAGCGAGGTGGTGGGACCACTGAGCTAAATCCCCCGGCCCCTCCTTGGCTCGTCTTTAAGGGGTTTGGTAACACTGGAGTCTCAGAGCTCCCAGGCAGGCTGTTGGCATAGCCTGTTTCTTTAACACAGTGGTTTTCCATTTTTCTTCTCCTGCTACTGTTTTCGTGTTGTCCGGCTTATTTTGGTCCCGAGTGGAAAATGAACGGCGAATCAGTTTTCCCCCTTCCCTCTTAGTCTCTGGTGGACATCTTGTCCGTGTCACTACTTGCCGCCGTCAACTTGAAAGGCTTCTCAGCCGCTGCAGTTGGGGGCCACAGAGGCCGAGCTGAGTGAGTTTCCTGGGGCAGCGAAGGGCCTCTGCCAAGGCGAAGAACGGTTGCCGAGGTGAGGCGCTGACGGGACCGCGAAGCTGTGACTAACATTCTGGCAGCGCGCAGCCCTCTGCCGAGTGACTCCTTTCTCCTGGAGGGGGACTGTCGGTCTCCTTCTCAAAGTGGCTCTTGTTGCCGCTGCTCTTCACACAACTCCAGGCTGGCGGGCGTCGGGCTGGCTCCCGGCTGTGGCCCGGAGTGGGGTGCTCTGCGGGAGGCGGGCAGGGGGCTCCTCCTCGCCGGTGCTGCGCTAGCTTACAGGCCGCGACCCTTTTTCCTGAATTCCAGTCTGTTTCTTATTCATCTGGTGATTAAATGCAGAATCTTTGTCTCTGCCTAGCTTTGCAAGTCCAGAAAGAGAAAAAACAGTATTTCCGGCCCTTCCCGTGCCTTCACGCCCAACACCCCCCTCCCCCAGCGGCAGGAGCCTCGCAGGTTAAGCTTGAAAGCTTGTCTCTCTTTCCTTTCCTTTCCTTCCTGGTGGTGCTAGGAATGAAACCTAGCACGACCTTGCCAGGAGAGTGCTCTGCCCTGGGCCTCCGCCTCCAGCCCGCGTGAATAGTACTTGATACCATGCACCGGGGTGGGGGAATGATCGGTATAGCTTTGTGATGCTAGCAGTCTTGTTTATCTTTTGAGACAGGATCTTGCCAAGTCGGGAAACTGCCTGGGCTGGGCTTGCATTTTCTGTCCTTTGCCTGGGATTTTAGGTGGACAGACACCAGTTGGGTCTTCAACCTTAAATTATTTATTTTATTTTGTTTTATTTATTAATTTCCACCTCCCCTGGAGACAGGGTCTGGTCTCACTATGTAGCTCAGGCTGGCCTGGAACTGGAGGCACTTCTCCTGCCTCAGCCTCCCAAGTGCAAGGATTACAGATATGCACCACCATGCCCAGCTCAAACCTTAAGTAATTTAAAATTTGGTTTGGAGTTTAAGATTATTTGGGAAGATATTTTAGATTATGGGGGTGATGGGATTGTTACTTTACAAAGTTTGTTATTCAGGAAACAGAAAACCTGTTTACTTCTGGGGAATTTTCACTCTCTTTTGCTGTCGTCTTGGGGCCAGGAGAGAGCACAGATGTTCTTGTGAGCTGGTAAATACGGGATGCCGGCACACGTGTTAGCTGGGCCACATGTCCTAACACGATGTGTCGGTCTTTACTGTTTTGAGACAGGGTCTCTTTGTGTAGTCCAGGCTGGCCTCAAACTCTTGGCAATCTTCCTGCCTCAGCCTCTGGAGGCTAGTATTACAGGCATGAGCCCCTGTGCCCGGCACTGTGCTGATGTCTTGGGGGACATGCAGGGGAATCAGTAACTAGATTACATATGCATATATTCAAACTGCATATATGAAAGCGTTTTTATCTGGGCCGTCAGCTCTGGCTGTACAAAAGCATTTCAGTCTGCAGGCACATTGAGTTGTGTTTGGAAGCCCCAGCACTTGAGGCCCAGATGGTGCTCTTGACGTAGGACATAAGACCTTTCTTCGGTAGTAATTGGATCATCCTGTCCCGCTTTCACGCCTATTACTAGTGGTGGAGGACTGACAGTGTCCATGTCCTTCTAGCGTTTCTCTGGGGAGCACCTGTGTTTCTGACAGCTCATGGGGTTAGGGCGAGACTGATACAGGGAAATAACTGTAACTCCCAACCTGCTGGGTTTCAGGTACGCAGAGTTGGGTTTCCCAGAATCAAAGAATTAAGGGACAATGGAGGCTAAGAGTAGGAAACATTTACTGGGGGGAGCGCTCCTGAGAGATAGGAGGGGACCCGAAAGTGGGTTCCCAGCAAGCCCACTTCTTGATGTAGAGCAAAACACGAGGTGGGTACAACATGGGTCAAAACTGATTGACCAGTGAGGTTACAGGTATAGCCGCTTAGGTGATATTGATCCAAGGGGGATCAAATGTATATGAAAGAACAAGACCTTTTCAGGAGATGGATCGGGAGGTCCTGGTCACCCGCTGGGTGACTGTTGACCTAGACTTTATTGTACCAGGTGATACCAGTTATAGTCTCATCTTCAGCTTATTACTTGTCCCTGGCGAGGCAGGTGGGCCTAGTCTTCTGTCTTTATTTTGAGGCCTCAAGCCGCAGTTGTGGTGTTTTCC